TCGAGCAATCATTTGAAAATGCTTAATGAATGCCTCTACCAGGCCGTTCTGGGTGTGAACATGGGGTACATGATGTTCAACATCAACCCCAACCGATATGTAATAGTCATCAAAAGTTTTAGATGTGAATTCTCCAACATTATCCAATTGAATAGATTTGATTGAATAATCAGGGAGGTGAGCCTTAAGCTTGATAAGTTGGGCCAACAATTTTGAAAATGCAATGTTCCTTGTGGACAACAAGCACATGTGTGACCAACGTTCCTTGGAGAATGCAACATTCCTTGTCGCCTATATTTAACTGACAGGGGAATGGGATCGGCGGCATAGAGAGAATATAGAGAGAGATGTATTTGTAGGGTTGTGTAGAGAAATGTGTGTTATTCCTCCTACACAATGACTTTATAGAGGGATATGAAATCCTTCTTCTCCAAGGAATACAAGTCCATATAGGAAAGAATAACTAGAATAAAATCTAATCTAGAATTTACACAATCTCACTTAAACTAGAAATTTACAACAAAGGCGTAGTTGTTGATGTTTGGATTATTATTTAAGTGTTGACTAACTTGCTTATTTCCCTATTAGTGAAATGTTATATTGTTTGCAAATGCAATCTAAAAAAATTAGTCTACCTAGCACTACTGAATGAATTAATTAACATAACAATATATTCATGCCATAAATCAAACGTCCAAAATTCAACATCGATATTAAAAGAAATAACATCAAGTAATAGAGAAATTTTTCAAAGTGTTTTGTATTTAAATATTTACTCTATGTGTTATAAAATCAGTGTAGGGATACAATAAATATATCATTTCCTCCACTTGTGGTATGACATGTGGAGTACCGGGTTTAGGGGTTAAGTGAGACATATGCTATAGACACTTAGGGGGTTAAGTGAGATATTTAAAATTTCATAAAGCAAAGTGAGACAAAGATTGAGTTTCAGAAGGTATAAGTGTAAAATGAGTGCATGTTTTCTCACCACCCTCAAGTGGTGGTATTGCTTACCACAATACTTAATCATCGTTGAATAAATTTAAATTTTGAAGTTTGTGCTTATTCATTGTACAAATCTCAAATTTAAATTTTGTTGTTTAAATTTTGAGATTTGTGATTAGAAAATGGGGTGGCATGCCGTTCAAAATTTGTAGTGTTTGTACAGACTGATAAATCAATTAATAAAAATTGAGATACCAAATTGTTTATTTTATAGATTGTGCAAGTATAATCATAAGGGTTTTTATTTATGAATACCCAATGGAATTTTAACATTGGTAACGCAGTTTGTTGCGGGTATGTCGTTGTAGGCATAGAAAACTCAACGAACCTTATTCCCCAGGTATGCTTCAAGTTATTATTATTTTTTCGTAATGTTCTGTTTTTAATTTTATTTAAGGTATCTATTAATCAAATCAAGTACTATTTCGTGTATGGCTTCAATTTGAGAAAGTCCACGATCCCTCCAATTTGTTCAGTCCTGCCGCCCTGCCGTCACTTACTCTCTTGAAAAAATGTTAATATGTGTGAATAGCATCACCCTATATTTATATATTTCTTACATGATTTGTGTGTGAATTTGTTGATTCTAAAAATTAAAAAACTTACATGGACGTGCAGGTCAAGTAACAATTAAGCTACCTATATCCTTCTTGTGAATACAGGTGTGCCAACTCACGATCGAATTATGTTGGGCGAGTAGAATAGATGGGGTGGTGGTGATGTTGAATGAGCTGCTAACTTTTGTACTTAAACGACTACAGTCGAGGAAGGAACACCTCTTAGCTTAGGGTTCTACAACCTGAAGACAATGTTGCTTAATTCACTGCAAAGTTCAGGATCTTGTGCACAGGTTTTGGGCCGCTTCAGCTATATTCGTAAGTGTATAAGTACACGAATCTGTATCAGGTAGCAGCGAAAAAGGTACTCAAAGGAGATGAGTGTCTTTATAATGAACATAGTTCGACCTATAGACATCAAAATTTTAGTGAAACAAATGTTCACCAATTATGACTTGCTAAGGCTTATGTGGCGCGCATAGTGGGTCTTTCAAATTGTACACACGGCATAGTATGTGGTTCATCAAAGTTGGACGAGTCACTGACGAGTCATTGAGAACGACACGTCTCGATATCTGGTAGAAGCAAAATAATCACCAAATTAAATTGTGGTTGAAAACATAATTAAGGAGTTTTTTTCTTTGATTACTTTGAGTAAAATCAAATATATTAAAGATAATTTGCTTGATTAATTATTTTTTTTAAAACAATATTATCTTCACTAAGAAGGATGGGATGGACTTAAGGGCTAGTAATAATGTGGTTCAAAAGCAGATTCATGCCAAGTGTTCTCGACACCAAATGCTCTCTGCTTGCACAAGCCTAAAAGGCGACGTCAAACATTTGCTACATGCACGAGCTGAAATTACACAAGGCACCAAGTGCTCCTTGCCTGCATAAGCTGAAACTACAGACGACATCAAACGCTTCTGGCTCGCACGAGCCTAATGGCGACTTCAAACGATCCTTGACTGCACAAGCTGAAACTACACCCGACATCAAAAATCTCAATCCACCTTATTATGTTAGTTGTCCCGGTTTATAATTGAGTTTTTTTTTTTTTTTTTTGTTCAACTTCCACACCCTTTCAAGTTTACCCCAAAATTTTTTTTAACACCTTAAGTTCTAATTTTACCCTAATTACTAACACAACACCCTCCACAAAAACTAAAAAGGATAAAGATAGGAAAAAAACCCACCTTACAAACCCAACCCCACCCCCATCGACCACCATTCTCTCTTGGTCCCTCCCGCACCAACTTGACAAACAGCTTCTCTAGGCTTTTTCCTTGGGCATGTATCAGGGCAAAAGCTACCAAGGAACAATAACAATAAAGATCATATGCGGTATCAGGGCACTGGATAATTAAGTTGAGATTATACCTTTCCTACTAGGTTTACACCATTTATAGTGAGGGGCCTAAGTAGAATCAATCCCAGCCAAGCCAAACCAATACCTGTATCCAGTCCAAGTCAAATCAATTCTACGTATCAAACGATGCCTTGTATAATTAAATGTGATGATACAATAATTTTTCCAGCATCGCTATCGATATATGTTGCGCTACAACTATATCCATTATAAACCCCTTCCAATGAAAAAGTACCCCAAGAATATAAAGACGGGCCTACTAGACTGACTCGCATTTCTTATTTTCCCACCTATCTTGTTTTTCTACTCACTGATAAAATTTAAAAAGTGAAAACACTATTTTTCTACCGACTATTTTTCCCAAAATGACCTCCACATTTTTTAATTCTTTTTACTTTCCCTTCTTATATAAAAATAAAATATATAAATAAGTAAAAACAATTAACAAATTATTTGTTCTTGGGGACCAACATCCCCCCAAACGGTAGAAACCTAGCCTCAAAACCGTCCCCCAAAATGCACCACCACGAGAAAGAGAGTAGACGTTGGCGGACATGGCGATTGGCAACCCATAGCGAGCTGACATCGACACCGCTGTGGGGGAGGACCGAGAACGTGCGGTGGGTATGGACTTGGTGGGGTTTACATGGGGGAGGGCATTCTGATTGTTCTTTACAAGCCTTCGAACCCAAAGTCATGAGGAATTGAGGATCAATACTATATAGCACTTTACGACCAAGGCTGGGTTGCGATTCTAAATGTTCTATTTTTTGTTGGTCAACCATAACAAATATTACGTGGTGAAACTTGATTGGATGATTTTTTTATATTTTTTTATTTTAAACAAAGGATAGAATCTAGCTGAGGGGGTGGGGTGGGAGTGGGTTTTATTTTAAACAAAGGATAGAATCTATAGGGGGTGGGGTGGGAGTGGGAAAGGGGGCTAAGTCTCACAATTGGGCTAGCAATAATAATGTGTCGAGAATCGAACTTAAGAATTTTCAGGAATATCATTAAACTGTAGTACTAATGGTCAGGTCTTTAGAAGTCATTATGCATAAGGATAAATTTGTAAATCACATTTTCATCTTAAAGTGGTTGAGATTTAAGACTTTTTTTTAAACAAAGGATAGAATCTAGCTGAGGGGGTGGGGTGGGAGTGGGGAAGGAGGCTAAGCCTCACACTGGGTCAGCAATAATAACGCGTCGAGAATCGAACTTAAGGATTTTCAGGAATTTTACTAAACCGTAGTACTAATAGTCAAGACTTAAGAAGTCATTCTGCATAAGGATAAATTTGTAAATCACATTTTCATCTTAAAGTGGTTGGGATTTAAGACTTTTTTTTTTTTAACAAAGGATAGAATCTAGCTGAGGGGGTGGGGTGGGAGTAGGGAAGGGGGCTAAGCCTCACACTGGGCTAGCAATAATAACGTGTCGAGAATCGAACTTAAGGATTTTCAAGAATATCACTAAAACGTAGTACTAATGGTCAGGTCTTTAGAAGTCATTTTGCATAATAGAACTTAAGGATTTTTAGGAATATCACTAAAACGTAGTACTAATGGTCAGGTCTTTAGAAGTCATTCTGCATAAGGATAAATTTGTAAATCACATTTTCATCTTAAAGTGGTTGGGATTTAAGACTTTTTTTTTAAACAAAGGATAGAATCTAGCTGAGGGGGTGGGGTGGGAGTGGGAGTGGGGAATGGAGCTAAGCCTCACACTGGACCAGCAATAATAACATGTCGAGAATCGAACTTAAGGATTTTCAGGAATATCACTAAATCGTAGTACTAATGGTCAAGTCTTTATAAGTCATTCTGCATAAGGATAAATTTGTAAATCACATTTTCATCTTAAAGTGGTTGGGATTTAAGACACTGCTGTACCAATAACAGCTAATATGTAATCTATTCAATTCTATATATATTATTGCTCACTTTCCCACTTTTCCTTGATATTTTCGTACGCACTTGTTTCTTGCGTAGGGGAGAGATCACAAAAGCCAAAACTATTCGGTATACAAATTTCCAAGACTAGCTACAGTTCCATGCTCGATCATGGCAAACATGAAGAAACCTAGCAAGGAAAGCAGACTAACAAAGTTCATGAAGACCCCCCTAAGGGTTTTAATCAAGGCCAGGGATTTCTACATCATGAGCATGACCGAGTGCTCCGGTCAATTCGATTACGGCACGGCCATGGGATGCCCCGGTGCCCAGGTCCCAAGTTCTTTGCCTAGAAGCTTCAGCACAAGCTCTACCAATTCAAGCACTGCCGATAACGAAGATAACAGAGAGCTTACGAGGGCCGCTTGTGCTAGGAGCTTAAGGAATAAAATTGAACTCGATCTTGCTCGAAAAGCGCAGCTTCCTAGGCAGCCTCCGGTGGCTGGAGTGCCCAACGCCATGCCTCGCAGTCGAAGTGTTGGAATCGGAAGGATTGACGAAGACAAGGCGTGTGAATTTGAAGAAGAAGTCCAGGTCAAGAGAGATGTGTATCCGAGAAGTAGGAGCTATGCTGTTTCTAGGAGAACAAATTAGAAGGGGTGGCTTCTATAATTATCTTGCATTATTAAGTTATATCAAAGTCAAATGTATCATATTGATCTTAATATCCTTTTTAATTTCAAGTGTTTTAGCTAGTTGATTGTCGAATGGGGGTTGTTATATAAGATTTTAGTTATGCAGATTTGAACCAGTATTTCTATGTAAAACACTGTGTGAAATGAGAGATGTATATTATTGGGTACGTAATGTGTTCATCTTTCATATCCCGGCCCGGGACAGATCACTTCCCGGGCCCGCTCCACCACCATAGCACAATATTGTCTGCTTTGGGCTTACCATTCCCTCACGGTTTTGTTTTTGAGAACTCACGAGCAACTTCCCAGTGGGTCACCCATCATGGGATTGCTCTAGCCCCTTTCTCGCTTAACTTCGAAGTTCCTACGAAACCTGAAGCCAGTGAGCTCCCAAAAGGCCTCGTGCTAGGTAGGGATGGGAATATACATTTAAGGATCACACCCCTAGGCGATGTGGGATGTCACAATCCACCCCCCTTAGGGGCCTGACGTCCTCGTTGGCATACCACGGCCAGGGTTAGGCTCTGATACCAAATTGTCTCATCATGGGATTGCTCTAGCCCCCTTTTCACTTAACTTCGGAGTTCCTACGGAACCTGAAGCCAGTGAGCTCCCAAAAGGCCTCGTGCTAGGTAGGGATGAGAATATATATTTAAGGATTACACCCCTGGACGATGTGGGATGTCACATCATCGGTATCGGAACCGTCAATGTGTTCATCATTTGGATCCATGAGAAGAGGACTGCAAAACCAAATGCATGATAGTTCTAACAATTCTTTAGTTATCAATTATTTTCGTTGGTCTTTACTTATTTCCAAAGAAAATTTATCTTTGTTTTTTTAATAAAAGTTGAAATGAAGAGATTAAATTAATGTTTTATTGGTCACTTGATCAAGATCAAGGAATGCACAAATGGTGAATAAATAGATATTAAAATTTTAAATTTTGGTGGCACAAATGGTGAATAAATAGATATTAAAATTTAAAATTTTGGTGATCTTATGAAATTTGACATGTGTATATACTGAAAAAAGAGTTTTGTTGCTGGGAGTTTATCTTGCAATTTGAGTCTAGTATTTTTAAGCAAGTTCCTTCATCTTGTCGACGCTTCCTAATTGCTAATATAGTAGAGGTCACTTGGCGCCGTAACATTTTATTGTGGGTTTCTGTTTTTTTTTTTTTAAAAAAAAATTCAAAAGTGAGTGACCACAGTGAGAAGTCAAAATAAATAATAAATTAATACCATTAACTTCAGAGTTATTTGGTTTCTAAATAAATTTATTTTTTGAAACCCTCTAAATAAATTTATTAAATACAGTCTAGTTTCTGTTGGATTTTAGCATAAAGTTAGAAAGGAAAATATACAATAACAGGTAGTGTTGAAGCCACTAACGAAGGTGATGCAGTATACGCACGCGCGATACGTATGGTCCCAATCAAGGTATTGCTAATTGCTACATCATTCAATCACGCGTTGCACTTCCAATGTGGTGGAGCAAAGTTTGGATGCAGGTTGGTGAATTGCCAGGTGGTTAGTTCCTTTATTTTCAACTAATTACGTTTTATTTATAAATTATATTTCTATCATTTAATGTAGCTTATAATAATAATATTGTGAAAATAGTTGCATTTTCTTTTTTTGGGATAAGCTCATTTTTCCAGCTGCAAATAACGTATATTCACCGTAGAAATTTCATAATCGAAACAACACAATTGCTTAAACTTTCATTTGAAGATCATCCTTGCAAAAAATCATTCGAATCGGAGATCATTTATTCATTTAAATGTATCAATAAATCAAAGGTGTATGTACCAAGTAATTTATTAATGATGAAATATTTATTTGATACATTTGGATGGCTAAACGATATCCAATTCAATATGAATTTTTGTAAGAGTGATCTTTAAATGAAGATTAAGAAATTGAACAGTTCTGATATGAAATTTTTACATGCAAGATATGTTATTTGGAAATGGAGGAACAAGCTCATCTCCAAAAGGAGAATGGAAGCATTATTCAGAAACCCCTTTTCTTGTGAGCAAGGTAAACATTTTTTAGTGAAGAAGTTGAGGTTCCATCATAAACCAATCGTTTATAGGGAATAATCTAACTTTATAAATCATTGCAAGGCTTCTCCTTTCACTCTTTTACCTTCATATTTCACATGCCCCTTCACGTGTAGTGAATTTTAAAGTTAAACACATGGGCAACACGAATTGGAAGACGTGGAGCACGTGTGGCCGTCGGGTTTCACACATGAGCCAATCTACTCTGATAACATGAAGAAATTAAGATTTCACCATAAAACCAATTGACTATGAAGAATAGTACCATTTCTTATAAACCCTTGTAATGTTTTCCTTTCACTAATATGAGACTTTTTTTAAATTCACATCTAACATTTAGTCGTAAATGTTGGACTTGAGAGGCCATAAGAATCCCCGATTTAATAGGATATATTATCTCCTTGAGATAACGTAATCTGAACAAAAAATCCCATCACTTTGGACGGTGGTGGCATCTTACTGGCATTGGATATATTCTTACGTGCTGATTCGTCTTTCAACTTGATTAATAAGGGTAATTTATACTGGAGAGCATACAAGTGTGCGTTAAGTTTAAGTTCAACGATTCGGAGCTTGGATGATATACATACATATATATATATATATATATATATATATATGACTCATTCACAATATAACCACAACTTATCCAGGTGACGTCCTCCGTGAAAAACTAAACCAGAAAAGAAAAAGGAAAAAAAAAAAAAAGACACCCCTAAAAATGATTAGTCACCATGTAACGAAGTGATATACAAACATAATTACCGATGAAGTAGATAAGCATCTAACATTTTTCCTTATAAAAACAGGGATGACGCCACACTTTTTTAAAAGATAAAATAACCTTATAAAACAAGATCCTGCCATGCCCATTGAGGGAAGGAACTATTTTCAGATAAAAATTACAAATCAATTGAGTCCTGCTGTTTCTATGTCTTTGAGAAACTATGAGGATCAAATGCATATTGGCCACAAGATTATAATTGTTTATATTTAAAGGTTTAAAAAATTTGACAAATTAATAAAGAAAAACAAGAAATTGAGTTCTCTAATGGTTCATGGATTTTAAGTTAGTTTTGTTGTAGTTATATTTAGAATACGAATGTGATTGTGTAAATCCTAGTAGATATGAGAATGTATCTTATATTCATATTAGGAGTTGATTACCTATTAAATGTTATAATCCTAAACGGAAATGTTTCTACCTATCTTACTACTATAAATAAAGGCATAATGGGGTGAATCATATTTGAAACGTCCACGAAGCATGAAAACATTCCCTATGATGCATGAACCCCTCTATGTTTATATTTTCCTTTTGATATATATATATATATATAGTATATGTTCATATATTTGTCAATATATATATATATATATATATATTTGTTTCATGCATCGTACAATTAAATTATTATGTGGAATATGTGAGTCAATGTATAAAATTAAATTAGAATCATGTTTAGGGCTTCCTCAACCCTAAGGAATTTCGAAAAAAAAGGGAAATTAGACATGGTGCGGCACACCCACCACACCATCATTGTGCACGCAGATGGGCCTGAAGCCCTTTGCCCATTTACACCATGGCCGCACCATTCAACCAGCCCAAATTGGCTGGGTTTTTCCCCCTGCACGCAGCAACATTTATGGTTGCTGGGTTTTATGTTGCCCAGGCCTGCAGCCTGCACCCTGGCCCACGTCAGGACCGTGTCCTCCACGCCAGCCCACAAGGTTGGGCTTGGTCCTTGCAGTCCACTCCGCGCATCACCTGCAACCAGCCCATATAGCTGGGCTTCCCGCGCCAAACCCACTGGCCAGCTTTCGTTGGGCCTTGTGCCGTGCCCTCCCCTAGGCCAAAATTGACACCCAGCTACTGCTGCTGCTGCTAGGGTTTCTCCCGCTGCCCCCCCTTGTGGCCTACAGCCTACTCTCGTGGTCCTTTTGGGCCTTGCCTTTTACTCAAGGCACCCAACCCGAGCCCAAATATTTTTGGGGCTATATTTTTTATCCAATAATATTATTTTAATATTATTTAGCTTCTACAATTGACCCCATATGACCCGAATTATTGAATTAATTAAAAGTGACATGCAATCCATTAATCTGATAATGAATCCAAAATTATTGACATAAAGATCACATTTGGACATTAACGATTCAATAATTTATTTTTATATTTTGAACCATGACATACTTTCGTAGTAACGAAACTCTCACACTTGAGTTCCCAAAGAACCTCAAATACACTATATTTAAATTAGTATATTGTATTCTGTGTTTCTTACGGGAACCTCTCATTATGAACTAAATGTTCATAAAAACTAAATTGAACTTGTAGTTTTTAAAATTTAGTGTCTTTGAAACCTAAAGTTTTCATTCAAAACATACCACAAGAAACTTGTAGTTTACATGCATAAATTAAACCGATACATGTCTATAAAACATGCATGTTCTACAATATATGTCTATGGCTTACCATATGACTAATCACATTTTTCCCTCTATTTTAGGGACATGTTGAACTTGAACAAGCTCGATTTCTCTGCTCTAGAAGTCTCTGGAAAGAAACTATCTGAAGTGGGTTCAAGACGTGAAACTTCATCTGACTGCAAAAGGTATTAGAACCACCATCGAGACACCTATCGCCAACAAACCTATTGACGAAGGTCAGAAGGCTACTGCAATGATCTTCATTCGAAGACACATCCATGATGTACTTCAGACTGAGTATCTCGTTGAGGAGGACCCACGCACCTTCTGGCTTGCTCTGGCCAACTGTTTCGATCACCAGAATGGCATATACTTGTCTGAAATAAGACACGATTGACAGCATCTTCGCTTTCAGGACTTTAAGTCCGTGAATGAATACAACTCTGAAGTTTGTAGAATT